GGCGCAGCGGGAGATGCCTAAGCCGCCTTTTCAGGGCGGCGCGGCGCGCGCGGGCCCGCCGCGCGCTCAATGCGCCCGCTGCCAGGGGCCGTGTCCGACAAGCTCGGGGGAGCCGGCCCCTGCCGGCAAGGTCAAGGTGTTGCCGGCGCCGGCGCCCCCGCCGCGGCCCTGCAGCCTGCGAGCGCCTGCGCCCGCGTGGGGCAGCGGGAGCGGGTCCAGGAGCCCTCCACCAGCACCGGGCCCTGCTGCCCCCCGCTGCACTGCTGCCGCCATCCCCAGGCCGTTGCGGTCACCCTCTCGCCATGTCACCGGGTGCCTTTTGCAGCCGGGTGCTCTTCGGGTGCCCTGGGGGCCTTAAGGGCACCTGGCTCAGCCCCCGGCCCCCCAGGGAGCCCCTACCCCGGCCTGCAGCCCGTACCCCAGCACAGAGCCGTGAGGAAGCAGCAGCGGCCTCAGTGGGCACCGGGAGGCACGCGATAACACACGACGGCACGCGCCRACATGCGTGCACACCGGGTGCGGGACACACACGGGCAGCGCGCCCACRCGTGCGCCTGCGGCTTGCGGCACTCACCCTCCGGCACCCGCTGCCCCCTGCCCCATTCTGCTTGCGCACRCTCCCTGAGTGCTGCACACATGTGCAAGCGTGCACACATATGTGAGCGAGAGTGCGCACACATGTGTGTACACGTGTGCAAGAAAGCACGCATATGTGCAAGTGTGCACATACACCTACAAGAGAATGCACACACGTGCAGGAAAGCACACGTGCTTACAGAAGAGCACACATACATGCAAGCGTGCACATGTGCAAGAGAGTTCACATGTGTGCAAGTGTGTATGTGTGTACATGCATGTGCAAGACAGCATACACACATTCAAGTGTGCACACACATGCAAAAGAGTGCACACGTGCACAGGAGAGCATGTGTGCTTGCAAGAGCACACACACGTGTGTGAGAGAGCACACACGYGTGCAAGAGAGCACACACACGTGCAGGGGAGTACACATGTGTGCCAGGCAGCACCCGCTGCCGGCGGGCCCGGCTCCCGTGCCGGGGGCCCCGCGTCCCCACGGGTTCCCATGGTGACGGACCCCGTCCTCCGTCCTCCACTGGCACCTCAGCCGTGCGGAGCCAGCGCTTTTGTGGCTGGTTTTAATTAGAGGCTCTTAAGTGTGAAACAAAGAGGAGGGCAGGGGCCGGGGGGCCGTCCTGGGAGAGCCTGGCCCTGGGGCTGGGGCTCGGGGCGGCTCACAGCCGGTGTCACCCCACAGGTCCTTGTGTCCCTGTGAGAGGCTCGGAGCGGGGCTCAGTGGGTGCTATTTTGGTCCCTGTCCCCCTTCACCCCAGTAGCACCCAGTGTGTCCATGCGGCAGCACCCACCCAGTCCGATGGGGTGGGATCCCTGTTCCTTGCATGGTCCCCTTGCCAATCTGCTCTGCCCGGACTGTCCCCGGCCCCACAGCCCCAGCGGGGGACTCCGTGGGGGCAGGTCCCCCCTTTCAGGTTGGCTCCAGGCTGGCTCCCTTCGTAGCCCCGGGCAGGGGCAGCACCTAATCCACCTGTGTCCCCGCGGCCGCGTGGACCCCTGTGCTGRGCACAGGGCACCCAGGTGGAGGGGAGGCACCAGGACAGCCCGGGCCTCCCGAACACAGTGTCACCCCGTGCAGGGTCCTGGGCGCCAGCGGCAGCCAAAAGGGAGGGTTGTGGACGGGAAAATCCACGTGGCTGCTCCGGGCCAGCCCTTCCCCCCGCACGGTGCTGGGAAGGCCGCCGCGCAGGGGACCAGAGCCCCCGGCGGAGCCGCTCGCGGGGTCCGCCAGGAGCCGGGCGGCCGCGCGGACGGAGCCGGCGCCTCCCGCAGCGCCCGGCCGGGATGTGGCCTCGGCCTCGGCTGCAGCCCACGCAGCCCCAGCCCCGCCAGGCCCTTCGCGGGCAGCTTCCCGCGGCGGGAGCGCCTGGGCGGCCGCCAAGCACCACGCGGACCCAGCATGGAGGGTCCCGCGGCGGCAAGGGCCGAGCGGCGTCCCCGGCCCCGTGCGCAGCGGGACGCGGCCGCGCCGCCCTCGCGCCTTCCTCCGGCCGTGTGTCCGGCCCTGCGGAGGCCGCGAGCGCGAGGCCGAGCGCGGCCTCCACCCGCCCCCGCGCCGGGCTTTGATTTCGGGACCCCCCCGCCCTTCCCCCGCGGCCGGGAGCCGCGCAATGGTTTCAATTACGCTCTGAAAGGCAGTGGGGCCCTCTCTTTTCAAGGCGGCCGGGTTTCTCTTACTCACAACAAAAGCTTAAGTTACAGGAAAGGCAGAGAAAAGGGAGGGAGGAAGGGAGAAAGAGGGAGGAAAAGGGGGGGAAAATCCCCCCAAAGAAAGAAAGAAAGAAAAAGGGAAAGAAAAAAAAGAAGGAAAGAAAGAAAGAAAAAAGAGCGAGCCCCTGAGCAGGGAAGGGAGGCGGCGGGGGCGGCCCCGGCCCCGTCCCGCGGCGCG